GTGGCGACCCGCGACCATGGAGATATAAACAGCTTTTTATAAGGTAAATATAATAAAACAAAGTCTTTGTCTGCAATGATTAGACACGTTTTTTTTTTATTATTGTCATTAGTGATTACCTCAATTTCGGCTAAAAGAATTGACAAAATCCTACACACTGTGCCTTTAAGTAAAAATAGGTAATAACTTTTTACTCAAAATTGAATAATTTTAATAAATACTCAACATTTTATGTTTTAGCTAAATAGGTTATTTAAAAATAAATTGTATTGTGAAGCAGAAATCTAACCAACTAGACATTTTCTTGTTTAAAACCTTCTTCGTGCATGCTAATATGCTAGTTTGCTCTTAGGTTTCTATGCCTGAGACAAGAATTAGCATCCGTGTAAAAAGCCTCACCATATTCTGTGCAGAATACTAAGTAATCAGTTAATCACAGAAGAATAAATTGATCAAACTTTATATTTTCCAGAGAGCCAGAGAAGGAAGTGGTAGCCAGTTCGCATAATTTCTGTGGAGTAAAAGTTTCGCCAAGTTTCTCGACACATCAACAGTTCCATGAAAGTGTGTTTCAGCGTGGGCGAAAAGTAAGAGAAAACCTACCAAGGCACAGCGGAACGGGGTAGTTCCACCTTCTGACTGGTCCAGGCATGCAGGTGATGTGGGCGTTGCCCTAGACATGTAAAAACAACCAGTTTTTTTTTTTTGAACGTTTAAAACGCAACAGTCAGAACAGCGGGCCAAACATTGTTTAACGTTCTGTTCAACAACTTTGCGTTCAAATAGAAACATATTAAAACTGTTGTAAGACACAAGGCAAGCAAAGATGTACTTAAACTCTACAACATTCTGCACAGAAATCGGGCAGACCGCAGCTGAGACATTCATTATTCAGGAGTTGTGTAAACCACTCCAGACGTGTGTTTAGTAAGCAAAAAGAAACCACCATAGAGCGAGGTTTCCTTCTGATTCACTTTAAATAGTTCTTGCATTGTGCAGACTATAAAAAAATATAATTTTGCATGCATGCCTGGCAGTCAGTTCAAATTGACAAGTAATGAATGTGTGCATGTAGTGCGCTTGGCATGCTAAAGCTAAATTGACAATCTTCTGATCACTCATAAACCACTCACTCCTGGCTTGTAAGACTTAACACAGAGGCTCAAACACATATGCATTTTATTTTTACCTGAAGAGAATATCCTTGTTCACATGAAAACTGAACAACATCCCCCACCATGAATCTGTCTCCTTGTCTGATTCCATAGTTTGGAATTTGAGGCTCTGGACATGACTCTAGACCAATAGCTGTGAAAACAAATAAAAAGAAATGCTGTGATAAAAAGTTTGAGTTATTACTTTGCACACTCCAGACAGAGCTTCATAAACATGTACCTGTATATTCCAGGTGAAATCCAGCGGCTGAGACACTGATATCAGAGCTAAAGCTGAGATAGAGGTTGTTAGATGTGCTGTTCAGGAGAGGGGGGATGGTGGTGCCTGAGAATTGAAAGACAAGAAAAGAAAGGATAAAGATCAAATATTCTGAGAGCAAATAATCTTAGTTATCTGCTGTAAAGGAAACAACAAAGGCCTTTTAAACCCACATTTATTCTTTGTGAAAGAATCTCTAAGGATGAAGAAGGGAATCACTTTAATTTGAGGTATCTATTTTATTTGAAATCACTTTTCAAATGTTGTTTTGACCTACATAGAAAGGCAAGGGGAAGTACAAAGAAGAAGAAAAAGTACTCTACTGCTGAAGCAAAGTTGGCCCAATGACTTTGAATTACACAAATCATCTAAATGTATATGCGGTATAAGCTTATTTTTACTCCCCCACCTATGGAAAACCACGTTTTTGTAGAAAAAGCATCATATCCATACACTCCAAAGTTGTAAAAAAAAAAACAGTTCATGCTTTGATTTGCACAGCGTTTCAAGTTAGTGACAGGTGTGTTATCAAAACTTATCCAAGTTGAGAYTTTCCTCTGAATGAGCTGTGAATTAGGTCACACAACACCGTGAGGGGAATTAACAAGCAGGCTTGAGCCCAGCTACCGCTTCGTTTTACAATACARAAGAAACATCCTTCATTATTGTGACAGGAAAAAAAAAGATGTTCTTAATTGTTATCTTTCAGCTACTAATCGCTTATAGCTTTATAATTAACTGCATTGATCTAACAATGTCTGTTATTTGTAGATGTGTGGCTGTATTAATTAAGAGTCAAAATTTAAATCAATAGTTTGTTGCCGTTCCTCTGCCAAAATTTACTTATTAATGATACTTTTATCCGGAAATAGAATCAATGTGGTCTCGTTTCATTTCCCATCACATAATTTTTTCTWCATTTTGTCACAAAGATGCCAAGCYCTCCTATGGATTATTTAATACAACAAGAAGGTACCCAGATGACTTCCTGGAAGCTTTGTTACAATCCCCTCGACGAAAAGTGAATATGATTTGCTGTAGCAGCAGAACTGAGGCGCTTTCAGAGCRGGCAGGATGGAAATTCAGGCAGGCTACACTAATGGCACATTAATGTACAGGACTCTCTTTTTGGTAGACTGTCAAGTACCATTTTTTTATTTTCAGTCAAGTGTGAAAGCAGAAATGTAGCATTTGCTATATTCTCATGAGCAAATGAAATAAAGGTAAATAATTTATAAAACCGATAACCGCAATGTGTTAAATTTCCTGGATTTTAAATTTTAGGACTTTTGTCTTGAAACAAAATGCTCTGTATGTAAAAGTTATCTCAAAGGAAATTATATTATTGAGTTTTGGGAACATTTTTATCAAAAACACAATTTTTTTTATAAAAGATAGTCTCATAGGCTGCTTAGCCACCTATTTCTAGTGGAGATTTAGCGTGGATAAATTAGCGGTGTGATATATTTCTCGACTTTCAAGGAATCACACATAAACATGAAAATGTGTCACTCAGCTCCTGCTGGGAGATTCACAGATGTAACACGGTTAGACACAACCAGATAGCTCCAAGGTCATAATATCCAATACATCAGAGCACAATAAGAATGTATGATGTGCTTCCAGTTTATTATTATGGAAACTGGTAGGTAATGCTGAAGTTATAAAGCAGAACATAATGCAGCATTATTTTCATCTTAAAAACAAGTGTTCTGGTAAAATTAAATTTGACATAATCCAAACCAGTGTTGTGCGATACGTGTAGACATTTCTTGAATACTGTCTTTTGTGTTGTTCTTTGATTTTGAGAKCTCACATTTTTGAACATTAGCACATTTGCTACAAGGTCACCGGTAAGTCCACGTTGTAAGCAACATGTTTGCTGACATTCTGGGCAAAATAGTACAATATTATGAGGTATAGGGTTCTGAGGAACCCAGGACTCTTGTTGGTAAACACCAGTGGCGGATCTAGGATTTTTCTGAGTAAGGGGCCATCAAGRGGCCACAATATTCATAGAGGTGCCAAGTCTTTGTTCAACATCCTTTAACACAAATTCGCAGTGTATACATTTTACACTTCAAACACTTGTAATATAATGTATTTTTTTTAAAAGGTACCACTAATAAGGCTCCCCTTACAGATGGCTTCTAAATAGTTTATAGATAGGTTATTAATTAATCTGTAAACACTTTAAAAAGTATTAATAAGTGTTTATYATGCAATAATAATGGATGAGAAAGAGACCAAATTGTCCAGTTTCATTTATTAATGATTTATGAAGTGTAAACTTTACAAATGAATTAAAAAAATATATCTATAAACTCTTTATAAGCCATCTATAAGGGGAGCTTCATTGTATGGTGGTACCAAAAATATTGCACAGTAAATTCTCCTCACCMGTTTTTCATACATTTTACTTTACATAGATAAAATATTTTCAAACATATAACGTGAGAAAATCCAGCCATCATTTGTCAGCTGGAAGACTTTTTTGCAGGATTGTTCACATTTTAAGAAGAGAAGAATTCTGTCAGCTTGATTCATTCTGGAATTTACTATTTGACTCATTAGCGCAACTAGTGTTTGAACATGGAACTGCATCAACCATCATCATCCCCAGGTAAAGGACAGAAGAATGACAGGACAGGGGCACTTCAGGGGGCCAATCASATTTCAGCTGGGGCCAATGCCCCTGTGGCCCCGCCCCTAGAACCGCCCCTGGCAAACACACTTTTTAAGATTAGACATATTCATGTCTTTGCATCTTTTATACTAAAGGTCTTGTTGTTGATCGGTTACTGCTAAAACTCTAACTAAAACTAACTATGGTGTTAGCTGGCAAGAGTGATCGGCATGTGYTTGTACCATTGGAGAAAATGTTATGAAACTGTTTACCAGAGTAGCTGCCCAGTCTTGGTGCGTGGTTGTCGGCACCATCATAGAAATCCAACGAGTCCCAGTTATGCTCAGTAGCAAAACTCACCACTTGTATCTAAAAACAAGAAAACGAGAAGAAACTGTTCTTGTTATCTGAAGCTTCATTTCTTTCTGTAACTGTTATTTAATTGCATTTGCTGCAATGGAGAAATTGTACTTTTTATTTTAGACACAATTGAAAAACAAATACAAGAGACACAACAAGTGTCAGAATGTTAAATAAAATTGCTTAAAGTATACAGTGGAACAGATAATTTACAGAAAATCCAGTTGACTTTTTTAACAGTAGTGTCACGTTARACAAAAGCTAAATGTTATGAGGTGTGTGTTAAATATTCACGACTGGCTGCACTTTGTGTAGGTGGCATCTTTGCCTTTGTATTTGTCCGTGAGAGCAGTTTAGCTTACACACAATCAGGCCTTATCTTCCATGATTAGATCCTATCTAGTTATCTCTGATGGCCCTCCTCTCAGAAACCATCCATCCATTCATCCTGCTAATAATGTCTTATCTTTCCCTGAGATCCTGCCTGCTCAGCTTTTTAGCCAATGATAGATAGGTCAGCCGGGAAGCAGCRTGTGACAGGTACAACCTGGATTCCAGCCCCTTCTGGAACAGAGACCCTCCACACACAGTTCTGGTTGTTGTCATATGGCTCTGGATAGCCTGGTGACAGGATGGTTCCACGGCGAGAGGTCAGTACTCCTCCACAAGGGACTGAGATTAAGGAAGAAGTATAAAGATGTAATGAAAAAGGGGAAAGAAGAGAAAAGAAGGGTTTATGTTACTGGAGTTTTGCAAGCAGCAGAAAAACAGGAGAAAGTTAATTGTAACCAACTTCTTAAATATAGCAACCAATAACTGTACACATAACATAGTTTGTTGCCTGCTGCTTGTTAGCTGTTTGCACATTATTTTATTAGCCTTATTCTTTCTAAAGAACTCTAATTCTATGAGTCATATTTGGTCCCATGTCTTCATATTCCATACCCATGCAAGTTGGTAGGGTGTCATTCCACTGTGCCAGGTTGTCTGGTACACTCTCACAATGGATGGCAGAAGAGCCATGCAGGACGTAACCAGGGTTGCACTCAAACTGCACCAAGGAGCCGACTGCAAAGTCATTACCGAGACGCTTCCCGAAGCGTGGCTCCGGGACTGAACTGCACTGAGTGGAGCTGGTCCGAGGCACGGCTGGAGAAAAGACAGAAATGCCTCAAACAATAAAAATGGGTTACAATAACAGGGACTAAAACTGCACTGGCTGCAAAAGTGTGAAAAGCAAGAGTGAAGTATTTTTAAGAATTTATGACTTGTTTCTTTGATATTTTACTACAACTTTGCGGAACGTGTGCAATTAGCTATTATTTTTAGGTTCTGTTTCATTTCTGGAAATCATCTCAATGTTATTATTATTATTATTATTATTATTATTATTATTATTATTATTCATGGGATCCTGACTCCAACTTTGAGAACTACTGCCTTATTTTTTTCCTGCAGTAAAAGAAGATAAAGTCTGTAGCTCTTTTTTCCTTTCTTGGTAGCTCTGATACATTTTTTAAACTTTTATATAAAGTTGTACTTTTAGTGAAACTGGGATTTTTACTTTAGGTTATTTAGCACTGGAATTTGACAATGGCCCATAGCTAACTAAATACAACAATAAGAATAGTTTAAATTTTACCTTGGTAGACAAAATGAAATCCCTTAGCAGTTTCTGGTCCAACTGTAGTAAACTTGACTGTAATCTGATTTCCCGAACTCAGAGGGAGAGACTCGCCTGAAAAGAGGATAAAAATATTAAAAAGATGAAAATAAAATAAGTGAGAAATAATACTAGCTTAAGCTGTGAATGTGTATTGTTCTCTTATCCATGTTCATCACCAGTCCTTACCAGAGTGGGAACCAGACAGAGAGGACAGGAGTGTGTTCTGTTGGGTGGGTCCGTCATAAATTTCCACAACATCATTCAGGGACGTCTGGAACAACACAAACTGGCCAAAGAGAACTGCAGACAAAAGAAGAAGAAAAAGACAGATAATGAGATAAGTTAACAACTATTGAATGGTGGCAAATTATTATTCCAGGCTGCTGTCGAAGCCTGACCTTCCAGTGATAAAATTAACCTGTAATAGCCAATTTACATCTTATTAAGCTGCAGTGTCAACTTCTATTTGAAGCCGCCTATTGGCACAAAATTGCATATCAGCACACTTAATAGTCAAAACATCACCTTGTCTTCATCATGCACCACTCAAACTGTTCTCCTGTTTTGCCCACCCATCAATCAGTTAAACAGTATCAGTGTTGTCAGCTGGTGTAAAATGCTAAACTTAGTAAAAGCAGAGTTATATTTTGGAACATATGCTGGTAAGGAGAGACTTTTTCTTTGCAATTGTGTTACAAGCAAAAGAATCGAAAAGAAGATATATGACGAGGGTAGAAATCTGTCAAACTGTTCACAAAGCCACAAGGATAAATCCATTATTCCTTTAGAGGAAAACATGCCGGCAGGTGACTATTAATTGCATGCTGCGTTTGTAATACAGATGCACCACTCTGCACTCTTGCATTGACCAGGAACTAAATCTAGGATGGCCTCTACTGATAAGATATTCCTCAGTTGAACTATAAATTTGCCAGTGCAGCTGTAGTAGGTACAATCCACTGTGAGGTTTAAGGCTTTGGCTTTTCCTAATCTAATACAATTTGCTCTGTCCTAAACAATCACTGTATTTTCAGACCAATCATTAGTTGCGTTAAGTTGTAAATCTGTAGGTGCGCTGTCAACACTACATAGAAACACACAAAAAAATAAAAATAAAAAAGAATGTCCCGCATGATAAATTACATTTATTTGAGGCTGTATCCCTCTGACTGCGCACATACACATATCTCACCTCTCCATCGTTGCCTCTCCCTCACTTTCGCCTCGACGGCCAAGTAGTAAAGGATTAAATGTGAACATTGCCAAGGATATTCGGATGTAAGAAGGTCAGTGGGCACATTCTACAAGGTGTTTCCCTCTATAGATTTCCCTTTAAAGCAAAAGATTCCCATTCTGCTTTAATGTAAAATCTCATTTCATGTGAAATTTATGAGACGCAATACAGGGCAGGGTAAGAAAAAAGAAAAAAAAACTGTGGATTTGCATTTGGAACTGAGTCATCTGTGCCGATATGAAGGTGGAGTTGGCGATAAAGCAAGTCGTCAAGAGAGCTCTATAGGCTAAGTTAATAGTAACATCTTAAAGTAAAAGCTTATTTTATATGGAAACAGTGAAAAAAGCAGATGGTTTGAAAGAGAAATGAAGAAAATCATCTACATTCAACAGGAAAAACTAGCATTAAACAGAGTAAATGGCCTGATGCATCATTCATCACTTACACTGTTCAGTATTCACCTTATCCCCAGGCAGTTTCACAACTTGTTGCAATTTGAATCACCTGATCTGAGATTTTGACCAAGTAGGTAAACAACTTACAGGCTACAATAGTCCTAAGGACCTACAAAATGACCAGGTAGGTGAGTACTAGGTGAGGTTGGCAAGTTTTATGGCTCTAAATGACCCATTTACAGCTTCAAAGCAGGGATGCATTGATTGCTCGGCAGGTGATAGGAACCAGTTGATTTTCAGCTTGACTTGCTCACTCAGTGACTGGCAGATCAGCCACTCAAAAATATGCTTTTCTTTTCAAGTCAGTAAATTCACCACAGCTATGTGCTAACTCCTGCTTGCACAGATTGTGTTTGGTGAGGGTTGTTTCTACTGAGAGAAAATGTCCTAAAGTTAGGATTTTATAATATCTGTGAGGTATAGTTGTGTGTTCATGTCAGTTGTTCATGGATATGTAAACTGTAATGTTGCAAAGTTTTTATGGAATAAAATTGTCTATTTGCTAAAAATACAAGACAGTACACCATGTGTGGGTGATGAGTCTCACTCCCCCCGGCACCAGGTGCAAAACTGCACTTCCTGGTTTTCAATTTCCTTTACCTTCTGTTAACTTACAATATGTCATCGGCATTGGTATTAATAGAAATGTCAGAATCTTGGCGATAAGCTCATAAAAACCATTTCTACCCCCAAACACAATTAAAACCACAAGCAGTTGAATCAGAAAGTAAATAAACTGTACAAAATAGCATCAGCACAAATCTGTAAATACATCAAAGAAAATATGTAAAAATGCATCGATCCTTTATGATTGTTTTTGTAGAAAGTCGAAGCAAATACGACGTTGCAAAGTGTTTAGAAAGTTTTTTTTAACTTGATTTTGAATAAATCTGCCACAGTTTCAGTTGAACATAATTATTTCTCATTTTCTTATATGAATAGGAAGAAAATAAATATGTGGGCATATTTTTCAAAAAGACAAACACTGTATAACAAGTCTTTTTAGATATGTAAGAAAAACATTTTTAAATTAAAAACCTATGATTTCTTAACATTTGTAAATGGTACCTAAATGGTCCAACCAGTGTAGAATAACAAAACACTGAGTTATTTCTTTATTGAAATCTTGGAAACTTTGCTCTACTATTTTGCAGCAATAATGTTTGCACAAGTAATGTCCACATGTGAATTTATGGTTTTCAAGGTTTTAGCTTTATTCATTATGTTCTTAAAAGAATCATAAACTGTATAATTAAAACATAAAATAAAAAAGAAATGTGGGGAAAAAAAACTCAATTACTTTCTGTTCTGTGATGCTTACACTTTTACTGAAATATTCTGTGTTAGCTTTATGCTGATACCAAGATTAGTTAGGTAGAGTTTGCTGAGATACAATTCCATTTTGGCTCATTATTTCAAGCACACACTTCAAGCAAACCCCCTGGGGCTGAAGAGGTTACTAATCAAATTAAAGTATGTTTCTACCACATTTTTGCTGTGACGCTGGAACAAGGCATCGCAGGTGAAGGAGTTAACTGCTCAAAACATTTTTTTAGAAGAAGGATAAACACGCACCAGGCACGCTTTGTTGCATAAAGTTATTAAATGAACCTGTAATGCACATATGAAACAACACTGGCAGATTTCTCCCCCATACTTGGATAACAAAGGATATCAGACAGTAAAACCCACACTCTGAGGGATGATTACAGTAGAGTTGTTCCTCAGTGAATTTACCACATGGCTCATTGATGCCTCTACACTCCACTCACATACACTCAGGAGACAGAGTCAGTCATCTGGGTCCTAAGATGTCAGGCAAAGTTTGAATCAATCCACTAGATGTAATATTAGACGATTAAGAGCGTTCCACTGTGCATTTGAAAAAAAAAAAAAAACTTCTAGTGACATCGGATGGCAAAAACCTGGAGATCAATCCCTGTGGAGTTGCCATGCCTCCCAATGAGCTGCCTGAGTGGGTGTCCTCAGCCATGTCTTCATCTAACAGGAGGGATGGCAGTTCCAGAGGGATATATGCCAAGGGTTTTCCCCACCTGCTGTTTCAACTGAAGGGGGCTATTTGCATAAACAGCAAAGCATCATGAAGCATTTAATAACTAGCCCAGTGGGTCGATTTAAGCATTACTGATGAAAATGCAGTTTAAACAGGATCGTTGCTGCAACCTCCAGCCTAAATTGTTCCGCCACAAGGATAAGCGATTTTATTCAAGAAACTCAGCTTTCTCGTTCTTGATTTCAAAAGACTGACTGTGTCTGGTACAATAACAACCAGATGTTTGTGATGCTGAGTCAAATTTTTACATGGAGCTAATATTCCTCCATAGGGCTAATATAACAAGACAGCAGCCACAGGGAAAGCATTTATTCACAACACTACAGGCTGTGATTGGACATCAGATCTACCAATTACTGACTGTTTGTTAAAGCTCAACTCACTTTTGATTAGGTTATTAATGACATGGATGCAACTTGCCCATCTTAGAAATTCAATTATATTCAGAGATAAACAACACAATCCTAATTCACTGTCCATTTATCTGCTTTCAAATCCAGCTGCTCACAAACAGAAGAACAAATAACACTACTTCCTTATTGTAAGATCCTATGATTGATTGTGTGCCATCTTGGACAGTCTTTTATTTTTATTTTTATTTTTGTAATACAAAAGTCATTTAATTAACATGTTTAAATTACTTTGAAATTGTTGAAACTTTGTTAAAGTTTACACTGATAACTAGGTTGGGCATTTCGAGTTTGAACAATTCCAATTCCGGTTCCTCGTTTCAGTTCCCGGTTCCCAATGATTCGTGTTAGAGACCGGGTCAATAAGTTTTACATGGTTTAAATAAGGTAATTAACAACGTCTTACCTTTTAATTTTATTCACTTTTTATGGACTTTACTAAGAATTGACCAAAGAGTTTGTCTTTGTTGCTGTTCAGTGACTCACATATTCTTCTTCGTTGGTGTTTTCGTCCAGTCAGTGGACTGGGTATCAAAAAATCGAAATTTAAAAACTCCATTGACTCCAGAAGAATCGTAATGTTAGTTCCATTTCCAATTGTCACTTGAGACTTGATGCCCAACTGTACTGATAACCATGAAAATAATAATAATAATAATAATAATAATAATAATAATAATAATAATAATAATAATTTCTACCTCTACATATTACATAATATGTTATACATTTACCAGAAGATAGCAACAAATAAATGTTTACACGGCTTCTCAAAAAGCATGCTTCGACCCATTCCCATTTTGCTAATGATCACACTATGAGCACAGGCTTGTTATATACAAAAAAACCATCTATAAAATCATATATTTCCTAAGATGTCATTTTAGTCTGAATGAAGGACCACCAATCAAATATGCCAAAATAAAATCAGCCTCATTTTTAAAATATCATTTCAATTATAAAACCTGGCTGGAATCAAATAAACAGGCAGAACGTGTCTTTATACCATGTGTAATAGCTTCACTTGTTTCTCAGCATGCTTAAAAAACCCTACAGGTAAACTCCAAGTGTTCCTAAACATCCCCATTGAAATCAGACATGTCTTAACACCAGTTTGTTTCACTGAGACCAATTCAGTACAGGAAAACTTGTATATGTTTACTGTCGCCAGTCACAGAACGATGTATTGTGTAAACACTTAACCGTGTTCTATTTTTCTATTCTGCAGCCCACCCAAGTTCTGCTCACAGGCATGCAATTATATGAACTATTTCAGAATATTGTTTTGACAAGACAGTGTTTCATGCAAATGCTTGTCTGAGCTCATATGTTCTGCGTGAGGGAACTTACCAAACTCTCTCGGCACAGATATGGAGTACACGCAGCTCTGTCCAGATGTATAGTTTCTGGGGAAGTTTGGCGACAAAACGGTCCCTTCTGACCCCGTAGACCGACTTCCACATGGAGCTGAACATGTGCGTGTTAGCATCAATGCACGGTAACAAACAGTGCGGTTTTGAAATATTAAACTACTTGACTTTGGATTATATTCTACAACAGTTACCTTGACAGCTAGGCAAAGCCCTGTTCCATCCAGGTCTGCCATCATCTCCAATACTGCAGGTTAAAGTAGAATAGCCCTGCACAAAAACGAACAATCGCAGAATAAACCAAATAAATCAGACAACGATCTGTCCCCTAATCAGACCAATTCAACTGAAACAGAATCAACTGACAAAACAATCCGAATCATCCAACTAATCAATTGTCTATTCACAGAGTTGTACCTGCAGAACGTATCCAGCTTCACAGTAGAAAGTGACTGTAGAGCCTAGCTTGTAATCCGATCCCAACCTAGTCCCATTCAGAACCACCCCTGGGTCGAAACAGGACTCCCTCAGCTTGGCTGAGAACAGAGAAAGAGAGCAAATTAGTAAGTGAGAGGATGAGGCAAAGAAAAAGAGACAGGCACACATGAGTAATGAGGCAAATTAATAATAACTAAGTCCGTAGCAATAATCAAATGAGGCAGGCGTAGCGCTGGCCTTTCTAACAGTCTGTTTGACTTAGCTGCCTGTGCCAAGATAGAGAAAGAATGATAACTTCATCCACCCCTGCTTTTGCACACTACACAAATCTTGGAAACTATGACTTTCGCCCTTTTTGACAAAAATAGTACGAGACACCTGCACCAACTTCATCTCAATTCTGGATTTAAAATGAGCCAAAATTCCTGTTTTGCATGCAAAAAAAAATCAAACTTCCTTCTACTGATGGACATTTCTTTTAAATCATGAAAGCAGCATAAAACATTATGTCATTAATGAGAAGTACGGTAGTTACATAAATGGTATGTGTAGCTGTTGAGTGTAATAAAAACAAAACATTTATTTCTAAAAAAACATTCAGCACATATCCTGTCATGATGAACAGATACCAAATATTCCATCATGTTAACTGGGGAAACCTTAAAGACTGATTTCCCAAGTTACACTGACAAACAGATATACAGAGCCCCTGGTGAACTCGCTCTAAATGAGTATATTAAAATTATTTTTCACAAATGAGAGCTATAAAATGGCAGCAAAAATGCTCCCTTATGAGACATGTGCCTACTCTGTTAACAACAAAGTTATGACTCTTTGTAAAATATTTATTAATAAAGAATGCAACACATCTTAAATAAATTACTAAGTTCTATATTGATCTCAAAGCAGCACAAATGCAGCCCGTAAGATGATAAAAATGCATTTCTGTGCAGTTTGAAAATTATTTGGTCATTATGAATGGAATGTAAGCAGATAAAGTCAGACCAAAACTGAGTATGCTAGCTATGATTTTTCATCATTACTTTTGTTAATAAACATTCTGCAATGCAAACAACAAAAACATAGTAAGAAATAATTATTTGGCCCTTCTTTTACTTTCTTCACATTTATTGTATGCTAAGTATGTATGTGTCTGTGTGGTGTATTGTCATCAGTGCATGTTCCTATACATGTGAAGTTTGTACATTTGACCCATCACACAGGAGACAAACCCATGTAAACTATTTAAGTGCTCATGGAACAATTGGATTAAGGGCTCGACACATGGGAAGCGACGTCGCTCGCTCTCCATTCATTTCCTATGGAGCCTGTGCGGTGAGGCGACAATCGCTTGCCCTCCTCCAGCTAAGCGACCGGCGAAAATAGTGCATGTGAAATTTCGCGCTCGTACACGTAGACGTGCACACGCCAGCTTGCGACGCGACATATGAAAGTTGAAAAATGTTCAACTTTTGTCGCTGTCGCTTAGTGTACAACCAATCAGCGAGGGTTTCATTGACTGACCAATGAGAGGAGAGTATGCTACACACTGCAGTTAGCTAACACTTTCACCAAGTGATTACTTAAAAAGGCAGCTTTGTGGGAATTTAGTGGCACCAGAGTGAAGTTTATGGTAAGTTTTTCCTCATAAAACTGTATCTTGATGTGTGTTTGTTTTTCAATATCATTAACATCGCAAGATTTGTTTAGTTTACACGTCCGTAACGCACACCCCCCTTCAGAGTCAAGAACCAATCAAATTTTGTAAAGACAAGCGATCTGAGAGCGCGATTCGCAACGCTGCGATCGCGTCCGGTGTGTCGGGTTTCACCCTGGCTGCGATGACAGCTGTTAATCGCTGTAGTTTGTCGCTCCCCGTGTGTCGAGCCCTTTAATCGCTGTAGTTTGTCGCTCCCCGTGTGTCGAGCCCTTTAGGATCTAGAAATGTTCCACAATCACCCCAAAATACTTTGTATGAATTAAGAAATGTGTGATTTCTACAGAGCCCGCGAGGAGACATGGGGGATTTATTTTCCTTTTGCATTACCACGCAATACCTTTGCGTTCCCTCACAATATTGTTTTGCGTTCCCACGCAAAAGTTTGTTTTGAATATGAACTGAATTAAATCAGACTTTTATTTTGAAATATCCGGTTACCAAAACAGGACGTGTCGCCACAAGTTCGTGAAATTGACATTGATGTTGCGTGGCTGCACTGTGTTAAAATATCGGCATGTGACATACTTCCATGTGTAGTAGTTGTGTGATACATTCATTCTGAAGCTGAATTAAAGCAGTAGACTAACTTGCTAATGGTGAAAATGTGAGTTTGTTAATAAACCGGCAGGCACAACAGTGATAAACTACTTTTGCGAGGGAACACAATACTATTGCATGGGAACGCAAAAAAAAATAAATAAATAAAAAAAAATCTCCCGTGTCCCTTCGCGGGCTCCGTTGGTTTCTGCAAAAATGCTGTGTGAATTTTTAAAGATTTTTGTAGAAAAAAAAAAGACAAACATAGATGTTTCTATTTGTTGGAAAGTACACAAAATAGCTATAATTAACAGAAAAATATAGCAGAAAAAGCTAAATCTTGCACAAAGAAGCAGAAAGCGCTCGTTTGTTAAAATAAGCAGTAAGTTCAAATGATCACAAAACAATAACTTCAGCTGAAAGAAGCTTGAAGTTTCTGGAAATAGCTAAAAAATGCAGAAAACAGCTGAAAGAAGCATAAAAAGTTTAAAATAGCAGAACTAAGTTAACAGTCACACAAAACAAAATTAAATTAGCTGAATAAGCAGAAAGGTAGTTGAAAAAGCAGAATAAAAGCTAAGATTAGTAAAAAAAAGAAAATGAAGGAAGCTAAAATTAGCTAAGAAAAGTAAAAATAAACTACTTTGAAGGACTTTAACCATGTTGAACACAGATCCATTCATTTTCAATGAGGACAAAAATAGTTGGAAATGCTAAATATATCAAACAGTCTCAATGGCTGAAATACCAAAAGTCATATCCAGAATGTACTAAAGCAGCTTAACATATCGATACAAGAATTGTTGAAATAGCAAAAAATAAAAAATATTAAAAAATGCAGAACAAGACACATCCCGGAAAACATACAGAAGAATAAAGGATCATTCCCACAACTAAATCTACACAGATATAAATATAAGTTGTTAAAAATGTAGAAGAGTGAAAAGATACAAACACTGAACTCAACGTCTCAATGAGTGCCCCAGTCATCCACCGTCTCAAACGAGGGGTGAAACCTCCCATTAACTTTTCCTGCCACATCACCACTACCAGCTTGAGGAGAAGCAGAAGGTATGCGGTCTGCCGCAGACAAGCTGAAAACAGATGTAGGCACCAGGTGGAACAGCGCCTATGAGATGGTTGACAGGTTTTGTGGAGTAACAGCCTGCAGTCTGTGCCGTCGTACCGTTTCCTCAGGTGAAGAAAAGAAAAGCCCAACATCTGTACGCTCAGGGAAGCAGACGACTCACATGCAGAAGATCTCTTCCCGGGAACCAGTGAACAGTGCAACTAATCTTTTGTCAGACGAGCGCTCGCCCTCACCATCTGTTTGATTGGGTCTTTGCAAGATCATCTCATCCAGTGCACAAAGGATGGTGAACTGGAGGGTCATCAGTGGTGCGGGAGATAAAGCACACCATCAGACGGGACCTCAGATAAAATCCACTGGCAAGCAGGAAAGACAAAAAAAAAACTCTCTTTTTGCAGATTCACTGTGATCCAAGTGACTGATTCTCCTTTTCTAACAAGATAAAGTAGACCTGTGGAGCCTACATGGCTCGGGAGAATTATTTTCATTTAAAATGTCATAAAAAATATGACAAAGTCTGTTGTGCTGAATAGGCAAAATAATTTATCTGTGATTTGAAAAGGGATCTGTGATTTTAAAAAGTAAGGTTGTAGATTAGTGCAAAACAAAAAGGAAAGGAAACCTAGAGAAAACACACCGAGGGAAGTAAAAGGAGCAGCACTAAGCTTTGAAAATTAGATCATCATCATCACCATCATCATCACCATCATCATCATCATCATCATCTTCTCTGCTAGGGCTCTGTGGGGGCAGACCTAAAATGATGCTAAAATCCAGCAGTAGTCTAGATCCACAAAAAACCTCCATCACTCCTTCTCTCTCAGGACTGGTTCAGGAAAAATGACCAGATGTTTCCTCTGATACCCAAAAAGCGCCGGAGTCACTGCAGAGTCTCCTCGACGGTAATGTCACAACAAAACATGAGCTCATCTCACAAAAACCCACACTTTAGCAAACACTCGCAAAGCACATTTTCAATACTACTTATTGCTATGATAACACTGTATTTTTTAATATGCAAAATACCATTTACTGTCTCTTGTGGAGGGTTYCTTTGCTTTATTAGAAAAATGCTCATTTGTTTTTTGTCTTATAACGTCTGTCATCAGCATTTTTTATACTGTATGTGCATAAAAAAACAAAACAAGAAAAAATTAAATTAAATTAAAACACAGTTAGCTGATCCACAAATAATCCCAACATATTAAAATAGATTATTAATTAACTGATGTATCTGTTTTAAAAAGTGATATTAATAAAGTTTCCATTATTGTAAACTGTATTTGATTGTTTCTGTATACAATTTGGGATTGTGCCTTTGTTTGTGTAAGAGCCATTGAAAATCTGTTTTTACCTTTGTATTCCAGGTGAAAGCCAGTGTAAGAAACAGACCCATCACTGCGGAATGCTAAATGCATGGTGTTAGAGCTGCTCTCTATCCTCTCAGGGAGTTTGCTGTCCTGGAAACTACCAATGAGAGGACTGTTGCTATCGGGACCATCGTAGATGTAAAGGAAGTCGTAGTTTGGCTCAATGTTGAAACTAGAGGCAAAAGGAGAAAGAAAACACAAAAGGTGAAGAAATCAATCTGAAAGAAACAAGCTCAAAATGATTCTGAAAATGGCTAAAAAATAGATTTGCAGATTACCTGATAAAAGCTAAGGACAGGACATAGTCGGAGTTGACAGCGATGAGCCAATCACAGTCCTTTGAGTGAGGGTAGGGATGCGGGTAGTTAGGAGAGAGTATAAATCCATTGGAGCCAGTCAGGTTACCTCCACAAGGAGCTACAATGATAACAAGGGTACAATTAATACAGCATTAATCCTAAAGTATGATAAATATGAAGCCAACATATACTAAAATAAACACCATCTAGTTCATACCGTCCCCTATAAGTCACTGACACATGTATCCTTGAGCCTAAACAACTCCAGCTGTGTGCACTACATCCATTTAATGTCCCTACAGAATATACTGAAGCTGGACTTTTTACCTATGCAGACAGGCGGGCTGGGCTGCCAGTAGTATCTGTTATCCACTTGTATGCAGGTTATTTTGTCGTCCCCCTGGAGCTCRTATCCAGGGTCGCACTGAAAGGACACCGAATCCCCCGGCTCACGGCCATCTCCGCTACGACTCCCGTTCATTGGCACACCTGGGTCCCTGCAGGCTGTAGCTACAGAGCCTGGACAGGTAGGAGACAGGGACAACAGATGAGGAAGATGAGAGCAATTACAAWAAGCAGGGTCACATTCTGTACTGTATATACACGGTATATGGGTTTTGGACCACTGCCCAGTGGCTAACCTTATCTCACAAACAATCCAAGTAACCAACACTGTGTTGTAGATTATCTGATATCTAAAGCAAGATACTGCATACAAAACTACTTTTTTTTATAAAAGCAGAGATAAAATGGTTTGTTTAAATGTGTACTTTTCAGATTAACTAAAAATAATTGGTCTTAGTTTATGAMAAACAACATATTTTCTCCCAACATATTCAATTTTCCATGGAAATTTTASTACAGAAATATTGAATTTATTATTTTTTTTCCAAGAGTTAGAAACCGTAAATTAGCTTAGCATCTTGATATGAATTAAGCCATTTTGTTCAGCACAGTCAATGCATTTTTTAAGTTAGAAGTGTCAATAAAAATGCTAATACAGTATACTGTATAATTAGCTGTGGTAMAAAAAATAATAATAATTTAAAAAATATGTTAAAAAAACAACCAAACCTTGAAATTTACTATTAAAATGTATAAAACATTTCTAATTCTATTCAGTACATTTTTCTCATATTTATTATTTTTTTTTTACATTTGTTTATATTTACTTTCCTCATAAAATTGATAAAATGCTTTTTAATTGATTATAATTTACTCATTTATGATTAGTTCAATAAAAATGAGATAGTGGACAAACTATGTAATTTACTTCAATCAAGACTTTTAATCTAACTTGGTTCTACCTACATTATCTATMTATGATATCATTTATAAATCTTTTTGAAGGCTCACTCGGTGTAGCTTTGGACAAACATTTCTTACAAACACTGAGGTCTCTATAACATCTCTCTGTCACAACTCTTCACATCTGATCAGCGATACTTACTGGAGAACTCGATAGCGAATCCTGACTTGCTGATGTAAAAGTCGGTCTCAAACTGAACCGTGACTGTATTCAGCGTGGAGTGGATTCCCTCAGGGATCAGAGACCCACTGAGCTCTGCCAGAGACATTTCATTCTCAGGTGGTCCGTCCCAAACCTTCAGCATGTCGTGGCTGGCTTCAGTGTCAAAAGCCAAAAATTGCAGACTGTGATTTAGAAAGGTAAAAAATAAAAAATAAAAAAATAATAAAAAAAACAGTTAAAACTGACATTTGACATTGGCTACTTTTTTRTAAACAAAAACAAACAAAAAATTAAAACAAAGCTAAGAGCTGGTGATAACAATTCAGCCTGTGTGCGTGTGCATGCTTGTTTATCTGTTAGCAAAATATCTCAAGAACCACTAAACACCTTTTAATGAAATTTGCAGAGAATAATCACTGAATGCACAACTTCAACTGATTAATGTTTGGAGCCAACCAGATTCAAGATGGCTGCCACAGCCAACTCGAACTATAAACACCAAAATGGCTATAATTCAGTCAGTTTTATAGATATTGTGCTGACATTTGGTTTGTTTGTAGCTGAAACTTGTTCAAAACACATAATCCAAGTGCTACCCATTTTGCAGAACCTTTGCCTAAAAACCTTTGCAATAACTGCTTGTTGTCTGTTAGCAAAATATCCCATGGCTGTAACTCTGTCAATTCYGCTGATATTGAGGTAAACTTTGTATCATGTACAATGCATGTTTTAAGCATGCTTAGTGGTAAAGTTTGACCAAAATAACTACAGTTCTRGGATTTATTCAATCTTTCTTTAAAACTTCTGGCACAAAATATGACAGGTGTTATGAATGTTGTCAACAAATAACCCTGTTGTTTGAATGTCCCACTCTATTTGATGTGAACTTCATAAACAATCATTTTCAGAACTTTGGCAATTTATCAGCTACATTGCAACTGAAGCAAAAGAGAATCGTTCGGCTTATGTTAAGAATTAAATGTTCTTATTTTTTATTTTGATGTGCTGAAGTTGATACAGCTGACATTTAAACTTTGTTCACGTTAAAGTAAAGTGAAGGCCACGTCACCTTACGATATTCCCTGAGTCCACCTCGATGGTCCAGGTGCAGCGGAGGTTGTTGTCGTAAGGAAAAGGATATCCAGGGGAGAGAATCCTCCCTGAAGACTCACCCTTAAAGCGGCCACCGCACTCCGCTGCAGGAATGACAAATGCAGATAAAAGTCCTTGAAGACTGTTTGATATGAAAGCACGGTGAGAAATGCTGCTGTATAATACTTAGATTAGCAGAAATGTGACATTACAAAACCATCAGAGAAGCACCGCGGATGACAAATTGAGAAAAGATGGTTCTGGCGTGTTCGTGAGGTATGACAAGTCAGCCATTTATCTGTCTGTGGCAATTGTTTATTTAGACATTCAAACCCACGCGGTGGACCTCAGAGGCTGCTAAATGATCACCAAAGAAAAAAAAAAAGATGATTAAAAATGAAGCCAGAGCTCCACCCCTGCGCCTCGTTGTCTCCCTCACGTTTTTTTTCCTTCTACCCAATAGAACATTAAGGGTAGAGCGGAAGACAGATGAAGAGGAAGAAGAAACAAAGTGCTGATCATGCATTCCTCCCTGAAGAAATCACTTCACATTATATAACTAAAATAATTCCTCTTTCTCACTTTGTCTCTCTCAGTTATATATTTTCGCAATCTTCATCCTCTCTCCGCTTTCCCTCCCTCTGCAAGTTCCTCCTCCCTCAGGCTCCTCATCACTGGAATATATTATCTTGGGTAATAGGAGCAATATGAAGAGTGAGGATGGAGACTATAGGCAAAAGAAAAGGGGGAAAAAAAATCAAAGAACCGAGGGGGGTAAAGGAGAAAAAAAACTGAGTAATAATAAGAAGAAATATAATATTAAGACCAACGGTTAGATGAGGTCACAGGGTGTCACAGCTAAAATACAAAGTCAGAGAATTTTAGCCAGTGGTTTTATGACTCTTTTATTATTAATAGAGAAAAAGAAGAGAGCCTTATTAAGCTGAATCCAAAATCAGAAAGTTGAAAGGCTGGAATGAAGTAAGAAAAGGCTTTAGAAGTGTTTGATCCGTTGTTAGGCTGCAGCAGCCATTTTGTTTGTCGCTGTGAAAATAATTTGTATTTGGGCTTAATTTGCAGGATGTAATTGATTTGTTGACATTGATATTAGTAACTGTGGTAGTTTAATGTCCCAACAGTTTGAAAACTTAGGAAATATTAAAAAAAGGACAATGATGTCACCAGTGAAAATTTATAAATGTGTCAATATTCCAGTAGGGGGGAGTTACATCCCAGCGTGTTTTACTGTTTACATAAAACTGCTGACGCTTTGATGCATTTGTCTGTAGTAAGTAGCAAATCGATTAACGTTGGCTTATGAGGCATTTTTTACAAGAAGAGTTGTTGCTCGGGTTTTTATGGATTGATAGAGACATGCGATAAATAGGACTTAGAAAAAGAAAACAACAAAAATGTTGTTTAGGTTTGACAGACAGAGTTCAGGTAGTAATCCTGAAAAAAATTGCCTTTTCTTAGTCCTTTTCTTCTTTTCAATTTTTATCATTCAAGGTTGTGACCTACATCTGCATCGTGCTAAGTGAAAACCCTGATGACTGGAAAAGTATAAATTTATATGTTGAAAGAATGCTGGATAAAAGTGGGGAAGACTTTCAATGAGGAGAGTCATTCTGCACTTTGAAACTGAACTTTTAATTCTGCAGTGGTTAGAGAAGGCTGTATTTTATGTTATATTATTTTTTTCTATTTCTTAATATAATTTTATACAACAAAATGAGTTATGGAAGACAACACATTTGGCCTTTTTTTCAGTTACCATGAAGATGCGTCCAGATACAATGACATCACCCGATGACTACATTTGCAGACGCATTTCAAAGCAATGCAAATGATCAGGATAAAGTGTTTCGTGCATGTTCTGAGTGTAAAATATAGGTGTACATCTACATCAATTGAATGGTTTCTAATTATGGAACACTAAAATGTTCACAATTAAATAAATAAGAAATGTGTCGTTAGGAAATAAATAAGCCATGAGGAAAAAACACCATATTGAAATAAAAAGACATTTGTAAAAATAACATTTTGGAATAAAATCTGCTGGAATTAAATAAAAATGCCTAATATTAATGCCTATTACTGGGAGAAAAAAACATCACTGTGAAATAGTGTTTTATATTATTAAGCGCTTTAAAGGAGAATGCAAATTATTTAGAATTGTATATGCATTCCATTATTTCACAATTACACTGTCACAATATATTGTTTAYTCATACAAAAACATGTTTATGTAATAATGAACACTTTGGGAATTCCATACATTAGGAGACTTGTTTCAAAGCCTCCCATGGAAATGACGTTACCTATACAAGAAGGCAGAGGGTTATCCCAGGCTCTCCTTTCCCCTGTCATACACTTCAGTGTGGACGCCCCGTGCAGAGTGTATCCAGGCTCACATCTGTATGTGATGATGCTTCCAGAGAAGTGGCCTTGGTCGTTGACTTTGAAGCCAAACTGAGGCACRCCAGGGTCCTCACAGTGAGACAACTCAAAACCTGAGAAGTATTAAACAGAAAAAAATTAAAAGATTGTGACAGTGTTCTTTCCAAACTGCTACTAAAGGAAGATTTAAGGCTCACACGAGGAAACAAAATTATTGTTATTTTTTCTTAAAAGCACAGCAATGTTTCCTTTAAAGAAATCTGGCACACTGRAGTTTTCTGTTTACAAGCTTTGCTGATGCCACAGACTCTCATCCGGATGTAATAAGAAAACCAAAAAAAAAAAGATACATGATGCGTAGCATTATTAGGAGTGATACTGGAACATGTATACACCTTATCCAATTTAAGGTTGTTGTTTTTTTTTCCCTCTGGATGTCTGATCTCAGTTTCCATGGCAATATTCAGTTAGTGCACAGTTTTCCAGCGTGGGATTTGAATAGATTTATAAATATCCTCACAAGACCATAACCAGGATTTGATCTACGACATTACCCAGAAGACAAGGTGCGGCGGCGTTTTGCGTTCGCGCCTGGCAGAGTGATGTAGGTGCACGTCTAAAGCCTTAAACACGGTCATTTGGAAAGCTGTGCTTTTTACCAGTGAGCAACGTAAACACATCTGTCATCACCCTGAGATCTATCAGGCACTGTTGCCCATCTGAAATCACTCTGTTAGACATGTGTAAGAAAACAAAAGACCATGAATTATTTAYTGAAACCCATCTTGAGGACTATACTAAATTACATCCTATATCCTCTACATCAAACTTAACTGTAAGCACATTGTTGAATAGAAACACACAAAACATTGTTGCAGTTCTGTTAAAGCTGATGTCCGTCATTCCTTTCGTTTTTTTTTTAACCAAAATACCTTAGTAAAAGTACAAAAAAGGAGAAAAAATGTTACTGGCATTCCATTTGACTCACTCAGTAAGGACAAGATTACCTCAAGGAACTATGAAAACCATGTTATGCAATCACATATGAAAGAGTTAGATGAATTTAAATTGGGCATACAGTTTGAAATTTTTAATTTTAATTTTATTTTTATGCTATTTAGTATAGTTTTGTAAATTATGTTTCGTTTGAATATATTCTGGGTCAAAAGGGGCAGACAAAATAAGATTTATTCTTCTACTGCTACCTTTCATTTTATTTGATTTGTATATTTTTTGGTTTTGGTTTATTTATATTATTTAGTATAGTTTTGTAAATTATGTTTCGTTAGAATATATTCGGGGTCAAAAGGGGCAGACAAAATAAGATTTATTCTTCTACTGCTACCTTTCATTTTATTTTTATTTGTACATATTTATTTTTTTTAGTTTTGGTTTATTTTTATTACTGTACACTGTATTTTTAATGAAATTAATAAATTTTTGAATTGAATTGAATTAAGG